CTCGTCAACATAGGAAGAATGATCGAGGTGCTGTTTCATTTTTTGTGGTGATGAAATGATTTGGCACCAGTGCGTGACCTCTTACTGCCCCGCTTCCCGAAATTCGGACCAATTTCGTTCAAAATTTTCTCTCACGGTCTGGAATTTCTTTTGGATTAAGTCTCCTGTGGATGGCTGACCACATGAGCATGAACACCACGTATGCTTGGCTCGATACCGTCAGACACCTGCACCTAAACTCTCCGAAGGCTAGATATGTGCTGAGCGCTTTTTCGGTCGCAGTTTGATCTCTGAGCGCGAATGTCACATCCGCGTATTGCAAAAATGGCTGGCACGTTCGTTAGGGGCGGGGCCAAAAATGATCCATGACACCACCAGATAAACTTCCTTGTGGCGCAGGCAGCACGCGTTGTCGCTTCGAACGGTCGCGAGTTGGTGTGCGGGGATCAAATACGGTCGGGAGAAGTTTTGGCTAGATTGAAGTACAGTCGTTTTCCGCATTCCGAAGATTGGGGCAGTAAAAGGTAGATGGTGCAATTAATTCTTTCAGCACCTTAAATAAAAACTTCATGTACGTTGTTTAGGATCAAGAATCGAAAATGCGCTCAACAATCAATGAAATCTACTTTGGCAAGACGAAAAAGGTGTGACCAGTATGCATTGTTACTTCTGTTTTTTTAAAGAGAATTCCCGCTATCAAGTATTACGTGTAGTAGGTGTACAATTATAATCAGCAGCCGGTAAGTGACTCTAATAGTGGAAGAAGCAAAAAATACATTGAGAACACCTCAACAAAACTCCTCCTCTACAGTTGCTTACCTCATTCTATAAGTTCTCCAGATTTGTTGGCGACTCGAGGCTCTGTGGCCTCTGTGCAGACCCTAGCTCATAAATCGTTTCCTCGCATCCTCTGGTACTAAATGCCATTAGGAATCAGAAAAAAAAACGAGAAACCAAGACGCTGTAACAGAAAATCGTTTCTGAAAACTCTGTCCTTTAAAGTAGGACTACTGTAAGTAATGCAGGACGAGCTTCTGCTCCAAATCAGTCGCATCGCTGCTGTACTTGAGCGGCGCCCAAACCCATCTTGTCTTGCGAACTGGACTGCCGTTGACATAATCGTTTCAAAAACGCGTCCAGGTAAAGCAAAACAACTCATAAGCTTGCAAAAGAGTCGACAAGCGTGTGGAACTCGCCCTACGATGCTTCAAGGAACACAATGCACACACGTAATTTCGCTTGTAAGCCGTTGTTTTGCAGAGTGTAAAATAATAGTGGTTGCAATAATCAGCCTCTTTATCTCCTTGTTCCGAGTGACGAAAGTGGTACATTCGAAGCGAGTGATCCGTGAAGTCCACACGAATGCCGGGTGCACTTCACGGGTTACGA